AAAAAGAGCTCTTTGTTTTTTCTGTTTTTTTCCACTGAGTATTATCTGACTTATGTTTTAAAGAAGTTATCAATATTTCACTCATGATAACAAATCGGCTTGATCATTTCTCTCGAAATAGTAACTTATTCTTTTCTTAAATATATATTTGTAGCGAGGCATGCAGCACTTTCAAGTCGAATTGATCATGTTCGGAATCTATTTGATTCTTACTGAGAGTCGATTGTTTTTTTACTTTCTCATGGTAACTTAGAATCGAGAGTTCTTTGCTATCTTTTCTGTGTAATTTGGATTTTATTGGGCAGTTTTAGTGAAAATTTGGATGTAATAAGAGGTTTTTCTTCCTTTATTTAACTTAGTCGGAAAAAATGAAATAGTTCTCTGACTTTTTTCGACATGTCGTATTTCAATACGATATTTCAGGGCTTACTCGAACGAAGTTTATGGTATACTGAGCTAATTCGGAATATCAATTTTCCTTTCAGTTATTTACTTGCTAACGATTTTAAACAAAAAGTAAAAATGTCTAACTTAAAATATGCAATGTTCATTTAATCGAATTTAGAATGCATTTCCACTGCAGTGAAATTTCTTTTAACAAAAGAAGAAAGGTCTCACGTAGAAAACTTTCTTCTCTCTAATGATATCTTAGAAACTCAACACTTTCTTTGTAGATTGAGGAACTTTGAGTAGAAAATGAAGAGTAAAACCATTTTAATGATTATGTAAATAGATAACCATCATCATTAATCATGCCTCCTTAATGCTATGAAACGAAAACAAATAACAATACAAAATTATAGAAAAGAACCCCAGGTGACCGTGACCGAAATCGAGTCTGATCGAACCTGATTCTATTTGAAACTGATACTTGCCGATGTAAAGCAAAAAAGTACTTATTCCTTTATTTGTCTTACTTTTTATGAGGGTTTTAGAGTTACAATACGCATGTTATAAATTTTTCTCAAATGCAAAAGCAACAGAATACACTTTAAAATGACATTTTGATGTAAGACAATGCATAGTAGATTTGTATCTACATTACTACCTTATTTCTTATTAATTTCATTTTGTTCAAATTGGATTTGTAGCAACAAAAGTATAGGAATGGAATAGTATTTCACCTCATGTATTTACTATTTAATCTCTTACTATTCGTCTATGGTACGATATATCAGCAACATCTGGTCATTCTAGAGGGATGACCACGTTCATAAGTTTTACTGCGTATATTTACAGATAGCTGAAGAAACGTCTACATTTGATGAGAGATTCAAAATCATTTGAGCTCAAGGATTTAATTTCATCTTTCTGGTCTTGCACTGACTAACATCATTCAATCTAGTTCAAAAAAGTCAGTCAATATCAAATGTTTTATTTTTCTTCATAAAATCATCATGATTGATTTGGTCAACATTGTCTGTCTTCTTTACAGTTTAATGTTGTCTCTTTTGATCGTATATTTCAAGTGATAGTTCGTAGTACTTCTTCTTCTTTCCATATTGTTCCAAACTGTGATCACGTAATTATAAGTAAATGTTCATTGATTTGTGTATCTAAAGTCTTAGTTGTCTTTCTACATTTTACCGTTTTAGATACTTGACGATATGGTTGAATTGAGTAAGAAGAGTAGCGGCAGACGTTGATGATTTTTTTTCTCAAGTATTTCTTTTATTTTATAGGAAAAGAAATAAGTATGAATGAGAAATATAATTTTTTTTTCTGTGAGTACGTTAGATAACACACACAGAACCTTTATTCAATGATTTCACAAAAAATCACCGCCTACTTTCGATACTTGAGCATTTAACTTTTAAAACACCTTTTTCAAGATATATTTCGTTTATGAATGCATTGCAGATAAGTCATCAAACAATTAACGGAACTTACTAACAGAAGCATTGAAAATTGAGGAAAATAATGTCAATTTTAAGTGAGTACATTTCTAAAGAACAACACATTCATATCAAAATTTGATAGTTGAATTCCAACTAAAAAACGCGGGTATCCCGACAAGATCTTTGCACCGTACAACGTAACTCGTCGCGCTGATTCCGAATCTCTAAGTCTTAAAAATTCCGTTTCTCTAGAAAAAAATTCATCAAATTTTGATACGACTGTTCTTAAGAAATAAAATGATTTCTAAAATCTTCCTCATTCTTTTGTGGCTGATAGCCCTTAGTCGAAAAAACTTTTTTATGTAATAAGGATGGTAGTGTGGCGATTGAATAATCAATCACAGCCACTTGATTGTGTATATCAAGATCACTTTTTAAAATTAAGATATCACAAAAAAAAAGCTTTGGGGATAACGTTAATCAATAATTTGTTCATTTATGATAATGTTACAATAGCTCCAACTGTTGTCTTATTTTTTAACGAACAATATCGATACAATCATGCGAAAACTTTGATGAACTCCCATTGTGACCTATTAGAGACACACTTGATTGTACATGTTCATTATTTTTAAAGAAAAACAAGTGATCATAGTTCATATAGACATAGGTAGATTGTAAACTGAAAAGAGAGAAAAAAAACTTCTTCTTTTACCTGTGTTTGACTGTGCACGCTCATTAAAAAGATGCGACATGATACACATCGCGTAATACAAATTAAGAAAGAGAGAGGATGTTGAACACTTGATCCGTCAAATGATCAAATTGATCTATTCGAGAGAGAGAGAAAAGAGATTTGTGAACCGATACAGTAATGATGATAGACAAAATTTGTTACATATAGCTGATTCGATTCTATACACATTGTTTATTAACTAAATTAATATGATGATTGTTATACGCTGCACGAAAGTAGCTTGAAGCAAGTATGAAATAACTCAGGTTTACTCTAATAACAATAATTCTACAAGAATATGAACATTCAAATATCAATTAACAGTATACCTTAATATTCAGATGATTCAAGTCTTTAAAGTTGATAAAACCCCTAGTAATCGGTATTGAGTAAAAACAATATTTCATCCATCATATTAATTTAGTAATGAATTCATTATTTTATTAATCAACGCATATTTGAACTGGTATATTAGCCCAAAATCTACTAGTCCAGATGAGCCAGTAAGAGGACAAGATGATACTGAATCTTGAATAAGTTAAGAAATTTTCTGACTGATTCGATGAAATTATTCACACAATAAGTTCTAATTCGACTATTTTTTAATCCAATGACAATATTTTCTCTCATGTTAGCTCTGCTTATTGGTACATTACTTTTTTCTTTGCCCAATTAGTCAAGTATCATTCTATCATTCAACAAGATATAAGTTTAATTCATGGTGAGAATGTCTTACTGTTTTACTTCTATAGTAAAACATATGTTAATATTGTTCATTTGACGATTAGAAGAATCTATACAGCTATATATAGCAACAGGCACAATAATTACATTAACCACTTGGGAGAAAAGAGAATACTAGCAAATGTAGGCGGTACATGGTCAACGCATTTGAATCTGAATACTACATCTGATTTATGTTAACGTTTTTCTAACAAAGACAAATATTCAAGTTCAAATTGCCATATTGAACTATGTTCGCTTGAGATGATTGTTGAAAAACAGTTTCTGAGTTCTTATTAAAATGACTAAACATAAAAATAAGCGTTATAAATTGAGTATGATTTTTAAACAGTTCGGTTTCGATATTTCTTGATTCTCTTCATAAATCTTTCACAAAAGGTTAATGATATTAGTCAAAGTTTGAGTTTGTGAGACTTAATAGTCATTGGTAGTATTTAATTTTTTCCAAAGACCGACACTTTGGATCGGCGAGGCCATGGCCTCGTCGATTTGGATAGGTTGAAAAAAAGGTCCTTGCTTTTGTCCTACATGTTCTGTTTTGATTTTAACTAATAAAAAATTCTCATCTTTCAACTCAAAATAATAATTATACTCATATAAAATTAGGGATTTTTGACGAACCTATCTAATTTTTGCAGATAACATTTTTCAGAGTTGAAGTAACAAATCGTTAATAAATCAGCACCGTGTGTGTATAATTATTGAGTTTTCAGCTCGGGGGGGGGGGGGGGGGGGGGGGCCCGGATGCCGCGGGGAAAATTATTACGGTTGTTTTTTTTAAAACCGAAATTGATTGGCACGTTAACGGGTTGCCAAACCCAATTTTAACCCGGCCCCNCCCCCCCCCCCCCCCCCCCCCCCCCCCCCCCCCCCCCCCCCCCCCCCCCCCCCCCCCCCCCCCCCCCCCCCCCCCCCCCCCCCCCCCCCCCCCCCCCCCCCCCCCACCAGTATGCTCGAGGAAAATTTATAGAGTAGTTAATTTTAAAAACGAAATATCTTTGCAACTATACAGGTTAGCAAAACCAAATTTAAACCGTCACCTACTTCTAACATATACAATATATCTAGGAAATAGCAGTTCCCTATTTTTACTATATCATCATGAACCAATGAAATAGAACTAGATGGGAAATTTTTAAATATGAATAAGCGGTTTATCAACTTTATATTAGCATACTTTTGAGAGTTTACTGGAATTGATTTGAAAACAATTTTGTGGGTAATGATTTAACATGTTTTACTGTGGAATTATGACTAAGAAGATTTTAAGTATTAGGAATGAATGAATTATTGTGAATTTGTACTTGATGTTGAATATCTGAAATGATATCGTTGATAGATTGATTTTCTCTCAGAAAAACATGATTCATGCGACCATTTTTCTGATTTGTAGCTTCGAATGAATGGACGAATGAATCTGATGGTGTTAGTTTTAAAGATAGAAATGGAAGTCCCAAGTTGAATATATCTAACGAGTGGCGCAGAATGCATGGCAGTCTCAGTATTTTCTATTTTTCTCGTGTTTCTTTGGGATCCTAAGGATAGTGTTTTTTTAAAAGATGCGCTGCGAAATACTCTACAAAACCATACTTAACCTTTAATTTCAGAACTTTAATCAAGAAACCTATGCAAATTATACGAAAGACGAAAAAAATGAAAACTTTCTAAATTTGGTATTTTTTTCGACTTGAACTTTTTTCATCTGCTATTATTTCCGTAAAAAAGTGTAGTAAAAGTGAAAACGCAGTTCTTTTTGTACTTTTGAATGTGCTCTTTCTCGTACTCTGAAAAAACTTTTTTAGAGCAGATGGTGTGCTGGAGAACGAAGTTATAAAAATACGTAAAAGATTGACAGTCCCGCGTTTCCAACAATGTGCCCAAGCTAGAAACGGAAAATATAATCGAAGTTTTGATTCTGCAGTTAGGTAGAGAAGAGCAATAATTTCTGATAAAAAAAAGCGTTAATGCTTTTTTAGATCAGATTTGTTTTATTTTGATTGTTGTGCTTTCAGTAAAACTCCCATAACTCCATCAAACCAAATTTGGTTTGATGAAGTTATGGAAGTTTTACTGAAAGCACCACTGTAGCCAGAATTTAAAAAATTAATGAAGAAATGCGTGACAACCGACAGAAAAATGATTATTTTTCCTTGGATTTTCATATGAAAAAATGTGAAAATGTGTAGCTAAAGATAGAGCGACTATATAATGGCTCATTCAGATTTTCTTACTTTCTAATAACTATGTGTCTCCCTCTGTTGGACTTATATCATTTGCTTAGAACGAACAATTCAAATGAAATAGTAAAATGGGGATCATCTGTGGAAATTATCACAAATAATATATTTTACAAATAAAAAATATTGCACCACAACAAATATAGAATGATGCAGCTAAGCAACACGTGCATCACAGATCGCCCAGAGTTATTTCTTCTCGGTCCCGTCCGTACGCGTGCAGAAAAATTTGGCCTGTGCCTGTTCGGCTCGAAGAAAATGCATACATTTTTCTGAGTGGTGCGTACGAATCGAAAAGAAACAAGACTCATAGTCCAGACTAGAAAAGGCAGATTCATCAGGAATACAAAAAAACTCGACTCACCTCAATTTAGTTAATAAAATTCATGTCCAAAGTTGAGAATTCTAATTTCACGACATTGGTACAAATAAAAAGAAAAACTCAACAATAGGAAACTCAAAGCAATTAGCTTTAGAGATATTAAAAACTGATGCTTAAACGACAACCAACTTCGCCACTGACGTTTTCAAGAAAAGATGGCATCTGTTTTTGGCATTTAATGTGGGTGTTGACTTTAGTTAGATGTCAGCTTTTGGGGAAAAAAACCGTCAAATCTCGATCCACTTGAGTTCGATCGTAGCTAAGTTTCAATAAAGTTGACCTGCTCTGGTCTGACCCGTGGGATAACGTAGATTTGCCCGATCCGTGACGATCTCTGACTTGCACCGTATAATACAAGAGGAAAAGTATAACATCATTCAAGCTTTACCCAAGCATGTCATACCTTAAAGCGTTAGCTTTGTAAGTTGAGCATCACATTGTCACCGTAAGAGTGTGCTTTAATGATGATTTGGTTTTGGACGAGGATTGCAGCGCAGCGTTTCTCTCAATTTCTGATGTTTTTTGGCCTTCATTTTTTATTACAGTGATATCGACTCTAGGTTTTCCTGATATCAAAGAAATTTGTACTGATTATACCGCCGTATGTCTACCTTTCATACCCAAAGTACACTGACAAACAGTCATTAGACGAAATGAATATTCTTTGTTTTTATCTTGCTGTCGATGTATTTGATAAACAAATGTTCATTCTCTAGATAAAGATGACAGATACAGATGATAATTTGCCAACAGAACCAGAACCCTCTACGACACCGATTCTGACTCAAATCTCTGTGGAACACCTAACAAATGATATTGATCACATATCTGGATCGGATGATGAAGATTATCAACCAAAATCAAAAACGTCCACACCTGATTCAAAACAATCCGCAAATGTTGTTGTAAAACTTCCATTAACGAAAAGTATGTTTTTTCATTTTTAAACAATTGACGGATTTTTCTCATCCGATTTTTAAAAGTAAATGTAGTTATTGTTTCGTTGTAGTAAAATCATCTCTAGTTAGTGATTACTACTCAGAAGGGGAAGAAGAAAATGGAAACGAAATTGAAGAAGAAGAAGAAATAACGAATGTGACGATAGAATTAATGGACACTACACCGGTATGTATCTTGAGACTTTGAAAAGTTAAACGTACATTCTTTCTGTTACGACTCACAGTTACAGAGCTCACGAGAAAAAAATTTTGACTATTCTATATTTAAGAAAAAAAGTAGTATTTTCGAACTAATTTTCCAAACAAAAGACCATTTTCAGAACCAATGTGTATATCTCGATTAGGAGAGTGTACAAAATGTATTATAGTATAGTGATAGCCGTTTGAAAATATTTGTTAGTTGATTTAGTTTAACTTAGATCAAAAATATAAAAATCGTAAACATGTATGTGACTCTTCTCTAGACTCTCTCTCGACAATGCTTTAGATTTACTTCCATATGTCTCCAAGCTGACGACTGGATTTAATTTTTTCTGTAGTCGAAAGCTTCAGATGCATCTCCGGCAACACAAGAATTGTCTCAAGGTAAGTCAGAAATGTTAAGTTTAAAGACGTACTGATTTTTGTTAAGTTTTGTTTAACTTTTTCTAGGCTTAATATTTCCTGAAGACAATGATATAAAAATACCACCAGAGCCGACAAAAACCTGTTCGGCTAAATTAGAGGTAAATCCACCCTTTTCTATTATTTTCTTATCGTCTGTTGTGTATTTACTTTTTGATAGAAGAAATTTGGAGAATATTACATACGTATGAAGAAAACTGGTGTTGATCATTTAGATCAAAATGTAAAAATACAAGAATTAAAAGATTTTCGAAATCCATGCATGTATGAAAAAATGATTGCGCATTTAAGCATTGACGAAATTGGAACAAATTTTCCACCGGTATTTAAAACCTATTACTATTCTGTTCAAAAGCTACTTTTATGATATTATGTTACGAAAAATCCTTAATTAGATTTTGGAATACTTGTTTTTTTCCTGAATGATTCGTTTTATATTTATTTCTTAGGAATTGTATGATCCTCATTGGTGGGGAAAAGACAGTTATTATGATGAACTCGGTAAGTAACTTATTATTACAATCATATTCCTTTCTGATATAATTCTGCTTTTTTAGGAAAAGCACAAAAACTGGAAATGGAGAAACGAGAGAAAGAACGCAAAGATAGAACGAAGGTACAAAACTGATTACATATCGTAAATAATGATAAAAATTATTTTTATTTCTAGATACAATATGTAGCCGGTATAAAAAAAATTGATATTTCAGATATACGATCAGCCACAGAAACGGGTGGTGATAAACGAAAAACACGTTTTGATCAATGATGTGCATTATTTTCCTTGTTATGATCTGTTATTTGTTACAAATCTTTTCAAATGTTTTTATATATTTTTGCATAAAATAATTTTTTTCTTTGTATTTTTGTGTTTCTAATATGAAAAGAAATAAATTTGACAAAAATGTAATAGATTTTTTTACGCTTAACGAGTGATGATACCTACTTCTCTGAGGGTATTGCTAAAAGACGCGAACACCCACGAACACTCCCAAATTAAAATCTGAGTTAGCCAATCGATAGAGCTCGTCGAGCTGAGTATAGCAACGTCTAACGAACACCCAAAAAACTTTTTATAGTTTCGCTTTTTAAACATATATTTTGAACGAACGCCCACGAACATCCACGAACACCCAAAGAACATCCACGAACATCCACGAACACCCATCCACGAACACCCAAAGAACATCCACGAACACCTACGAACACCCAAAGAACATCCACGAACACAAAGAAGAAAGGGTAAGAACATCCAAAAAAGTGCGCCAAATTCATCTTCAGGTTATTCTGGCCTGAGGGTGTGATGTGGGGGTGAAGGTGAGGGTGAGGTACGGGTAGGTTCACCCACACCACACCCTCAGGCCAGAATAACCTGAAGATGAATTTGG